TTATACTTTGTGAAAAGTTGAAGATGTTACAAAATATATTTGTTAATTTTTTGAACAAAAATACTAAAAAAAAACACAGTAAAAAAGGGTTTGCTTAACTGTTTCTAAGTGGGGGACCCTTAAATTTTCATATTTTTAAAAATACTTGGTAAATATAATTTTTTTCTTAGTCTAAACCTCAATTTAAAAGTTAGTGTGGTAATTCGAAAATTTTGCGGGCATGGGACACCCTAAGGAATGGTATGAATCACACTCTGTAACTGACTAATGAATCACACTCTGTAACTGACCACACTGATAGTTTTTTTTCTTTACAACTTGACCACAGCTATTTTGATGTTTTAACAATTTAAATGCAATAAAAAGTGTTACGTTAGGAATATCTTTTAAACGTTAATCTTTTCTTAAGTTTTTATTTTTCGCGAAAGGCTTTAAAATAAAACCATTTAATTATTTTTAATGATTGTTTACATAAACGCGTGTCTAAATTAATAAAAAATGTTTTTATAAATTTTTTTTTGTGTAGGCATGATAAATTTAAACGTTTAAAACTATTTTTATTAATTTTAGAAAGATTTTTTTTATGTTACTTTAATTTATGAATAAGTTCAAAACCTTTTGCAAATACTAGCTTTTACACATTTTATGTGAATTATACAAGAATATAAAATAACTTTACTTATATAAGCATGTATTTTGTTGATTAATGGAAAAGTTTTCAAGCATTTTGTAATGTTCATACGATTAACTTTTATAACTTACGATTTTTAAAAATCTTTTAAACAAACATTTTATTTTTTGAAAAACAATTTTTTTTTTTTTTTTTTCGAGTTGAAATCATTTATAATAATTTTTAAATTCGTTAAGTGAAGCGCTTAATAGTAAAGTTAGAATGCTTAAGGTATTTATTTAATATAAATTGCAGGCGCATTTTATTTACTTTTTTCCTATTTTTACGATTAAAAGAGTTGGAAACCTTTTTTTAACTAGACATTATTTAGAGCAAGAAATTATTAAAAATTACTATTTTAAAAAGACTACGTTATTTTTTTAAACAATTTTTTTTTTTTGCAACTTTTTTGAAAACATAAATGTTTATATAATTTAAAAATATTAAATACAACAATTTTTAATAAACTTGATAAAAATTGTTCATTTATTAAACAATCGTTGGTAGTAATTTGTTTAATTTAAAAGTGTTTTGCGTAACTTTAATAAATAGTTTAAAAAGATTTATTTCAAATGCGATTAAAAATGTAAAAAAAAGTTTCGCTTTGGAGTTTAAGTTTTTAACTTTTTTCCTTGTATAAGTTTAGCTTAGCGTTTCTACATTCAGCGCATTTCGCACATTAATGTTTAAATCATCAAAACATATGTACAATCGTGGTCAAGTTTTCATAAAATAAAATCATTTGCGTGGTCAGCAATAGCATTTGACCGCACGCCATTCCTGTCCAAGCCTGATTATAGTATTTGTAGAAAAGAGAAAGGGAATATTACGATGATGTGATAATGGTTGTAGGTTGGCTGCAAGAGCAGGTCTAACTTTTAGACAAGGTGCAAAAACGCATTGTAAACATAGTTGGACCTGCTCTTGCAGTCAACCTTCAACCTTTGTCACATCGTCGTAATGTTGCTTCTCTTTCTCTTTTCTACAAATACTATAATGGGCACTGCTCAAAAGAGCTAGCGTCTCTTGTGCCATCTACTAAAATTCATTCTCGTGTTACTTGTCATTCAATTAAGTCTCATCCTTTTTCTGTTACTGTTCCTAAGTGCTCAAAAAACTCTTATTCATCTAGTTTTTTTCCTCAAACATCTTTTCCTCAAACATCTATAATGGGCACTGCTCAAAAGAGCTAGCGTCTCTTGTGCCATCTACTAAAATTCATTCTCGTGTTACTTGTCATTCAATTAAGTCTCATCCTTTTTCTGTTACTGTTCCTAAGTGCTCAAAAAACTCTTATTCATCTAGTTTTTTTCCTTCATCTTGCTTTCCTAATTCATATAATTTGCAATCTTTTAAGTTGTCTGTCAATCGTTATCTTGCTCTACATCTTTTCTCTTCCAGTAACTTCCAACACTAATTAGTGGTCGCTTGCAGCCTTGTTGGAAGCGAAGATAATTAAAAAAAAAAACTATGTTTACAATGTGTTTTTGTACCTTGTCTAAAAGAGAGAGGGCATCATTAGAAGATCTGCCCCGGATATGGAAACAATATTCCATACAAGGACGGATTTGAGATTTATAGAGATAAAGAATAGAATCCGGAGTAAGAAAGTGTCGAGCACGATAAAAAGATGCAAACTTAGCAGATGCTAATATTGCAAAGGATTTGATATACAGTTTCCAAGAAAGATTGGAAGTAATATCCCTTTACAAATAAAACCAAAAAATATTATAGACATTGTATTTTTCCTTTCTTTTAATAAAATTCAAAAAATAAATAGGTTTATTTAGCCAAAATTAACTGTTTATATTATAAACTTAATGCAAAAAACATTTTCTCTAGTTCATATATTGAACCAAATGACCACACTCTTCCTATTGCTTCAATGATACAAGTCAGCTCAAATTGAAAAGCAATTTTTTGAAAAGCATCCTAATTTGACATAATCTTAAACATATAATTGTTTGGAGTTTGCTTCGTGGAGGTTAGCAATTTCATAGACCAAAAAATGCTGGATCTGATCCGGATCGTACAGATTTTAAACCTATCATTCTACTGCTGACTTGCTAACATAGCAAAAAGGTTCCGCTGTACATTAGATAAAATCTAACTAGTGTAAACCTTTTTCTTCTACTGATTTTGTTCTCTATTTCTATAAATATCATATTCATTTTAGTATTGAAAATTGTTGTCATAATTTTTAATTAATTTTCTGCTCCCGACATAATTAGTGCTTGCTTGCAGCCTTGTTGGAGTTTAGTTTTTTTAATAAAAATTTCAACAAGGAAAATGAATACAACCTTGTGTTCGACATTTTTTCATGCAATTTGAATGTTAAACAGCTGTTACATGTTAGTTTGCATTTTATATTTGTTAAGCAGTTGTTACATGTTACATGTTAGTCTTGGACTAAATAAAAGATAACACATATTTATTTAAATCCAGTGTTGTTAATTAACTTAACAAGTTTTAATAATAATAAAATACAAAAATTAAAATTATTATTTTTGTAACACCTTTTCATTAATTTTTGTAAGTTAATATTTTTAAGTATAAAGCTCAGAAATAATTTTAAAAAATTGCAGTTAATTTGCTTTATTTAAAAGGTTTTTTCTTTTCAAATACTCTGTCGCTATTGGTTGCAAAGTTTTTAGTCAGTTAAATTTTAAGGATCTTTATTCTTTGTTGTTGTTGTTGGCTTTTGCAATAAACATTCAACCACTCATGTCTTAATAGAAATTACAGAAAAGATTAGACAAGCTCTTGACAATAAACACTTTGCATGTGGAGTGTTTGTGTATATAAAAAAGCCATTCGACACAGTCGACCACAAAATCTTACTTAACAAACTGCAGTACTACGGTGTTAGAGGTATTCCTCTTCTCTGGTTTTCCTCGTATCTCTATAATAGAAAACAATTTGTCTCAATTAATGGTATCAACTCAGACCTTGCTAACTCTTTCTATTATATATATATATATATATATATATATATATATATATATATATATATATATATATATATATATATATATATATATATATATATATATATATATATATAATAGAAAACAATTTGTCTCAATTAATGGTATCAACTCAGACCTTGCTAACTCTTTATATATATATATATATATACACATATATATATATATATATATATATATATATATATATATATATATATATATATATATATATATATATATATATATATATACATCTATATAAGTATATGTGTTTGTGTATGTGTGTATATATGTATATATATGTGTATATATGTATATATATGTGTGTACGGATTTATGTATATGTGTATATGTGTGTATGCATATATGTGTATATGTATGTATGTGTGTATGTATGTGTATGGGTATGTGTATATGTGTATGTATGTCTGTATGTATATGTGCATGTGTATGTGTGTATGTATATGTATATGTGTATATATAGGTATACATGTGTACGTATATGTATGTATATATATGCATGTATGTGTGCTTATGTGTGTATGTATATAGGTATATATATATGAATATATATCTCGCATTTTTTATATTTAGAATATTATTGTTATTACTTTTATTACTGTTTTATTATTTATGTTTGATAAGTTGTTCCTTATTATTATTATTATTATTATTATTATTATTATTATTATTATTATTATTATTATTATTATTATTATTATTATTATTTTATTTATACTATTATTATATACATATACATACTTTTAAATAATTACTGCTTTCATTCCCATACTATTATTAATATCAATTAATTGGTATTTACTTTTTATTATTATACTTTCAATTATAACTAATATTATTCTTATATTATTATTGTTTTTATCGTTATTATTAATAATATTAATTATTATTGACATTATTTTTAATTCTATTATTATTATTATTGTTGTTATCATGAGTTTTACTTTTGTGGTTAATTTTGTTATATAATTTTTACAATAACTATTATTCCTTTTCTTATAATTATCACTTTTTTTCTTAATTTTTATTCTTATTGTTATCACTATTTAAATAAATTTTATAGGTGTTTACTTCAGATTAGTATCATTACTATTTGTAAATATCGTTGATGTAAGACCTTTAATTCAGAAAAAATTTGATTTGTTGTTGTTGGTAAAGATATTAAGTAGGTAAATACCTTGTGGTTGGGCAATATAAAAAAAGTCTCCCTCATACCAATTTTCAAAACTTGACAGCTATGATTATATTACTATGAATGTTGCTAAAGCAATTTATTTTTATGCGATTATTTAATTTTTTAATCTGTCCAAATTATTAAAAAAAGAAAATCATAAACTTACCTTCTTCAAAAGACTTTCTCATTTGATCAATTTTTTCATTTTCCTCGAGCTTAACAACTAAATTGCTTTTTTCTGAAAGCAAGCCTAATAATGAAAAATGATTTCTTTTTTTTGATATACATGAAGGAGGTGTAAGAGTTAAAGGTGACAAAGTGTATTCATGATTAAAAATTTTTTTTGGTGTTAAAACACTAGCGATTGATTCATTTTGCAAAAAAGTTGGAACCATAAGCTCATCGTCAGAATCACTAGATGCCATAGCACAATGTATTAATTTTAAACTTCAGTTTATAGAGTACTTTAGAAAAACTGTTCATCATCCTCAGCTTTTTACAGTGTTCCACGTGCGCTTCATAGCTCTTGGTAAGTACATGATTCCATAGCGTAAAGTTAGGTCCCGTAAAATGTTCCGCAATTGTCCCGCTTCACGTCCAGGACAGAGTTAACATAATTAATTTTTGCATTAATAATTTAATTTATGAAATAATTAATATTCTTTAAATGTGGAGCACGTTTTCACCTGGTTATCGTCGAAGATTAAATTTAAATTGGTAAAAAAATTGTTATTAGAGATAATGATAATTTAAATTTATTAGAAAAAACAACATTGAGTAGAGGTAATACAAGACATTTTAACTTTTCTAGACAAAATATTTTAAATTTTGAATATAAAAAGCTTATGTTGATGTTTGTTTTACTACTCGTTTAAAAACATTTCTCAGGAATGACATTCCTGAGAAATTTAAAAATTTAAAAACATGTTTTTAAACGAGTAATAAAATATAAGCTTTTTATATTCATAATTTAAAATATTTTGTCTAAAAAGGAATTTTCTTTACAAGCACGCTTTAAATGAAGTATCAATTTCCACGTTTGTATGTTTGTTACTGTTTAAATTTTTTTAGTTGTTATTTCTCAAGAAGGAAGTTGGGTTACTGTAGAAACATACGTTGAAGTACTTTTTTTGATACATAGCTACGAAACAGAGGCTGTATCAAAGTTTTCATGCTATAGTGCTGCTAAAAACTATGGAAATATGGGTATGACAATTTTAATTAAGTGTTTTTAAAATGCAATTGCTAAATTTTAATTTTCTTTTATATTCGTATAGTTATTATTGAAAATATAATTGTTGTTGTTATCTTTAAAGATTCTTCTGCAAAACACATCAAAATAAGATGATTCAATATCATTTAATGGGACTCCCTTTATGGTTTTAGGATGTAAATTGCTTGGTTGTATGCACGGGAATGATAGAAAAGCCTCTTCTAAAGAAGTTTATAAAATTCATTTATTATTATAATATGTTTTTCTTTATCAATTTGTTTCCAAAATAGCTCCTGTATTTAATGATTATATGTCTAAACCTTTTATTTTTGTTCTTTTGTCTAATTTTTTTAATAGGTATCAGATCACAGTTTTTCAAAAAGCTATTTGCTATATTTTAATTTCTTGGTCACCAAGAAATTTAACTGTAGTTTTCAAATAAAAATTTAGAAAGTTTAAAAGTTCCCAAGTTTTAAGGTTTTATTTCTTTGTTTGTTTAATTTATATTATTGAAATGAGATTTAAGTCAGTCCTATATTAACTATTCAAGACATACATGCATCAACTTAAAATATAACCAATTAATTTATGCTAATTCTTTTTAAAATAAACTTTGTTTTAGATAGCTGAGGATGCTAAATTTAGAACAGTGCAATTCTCAAACAGTATTAAAGATGCTTTGTCAAGAAATAAAGTAGTAAGGGAAAGAGTGTTTTCAGTTTGCTTTCCTTCAAAAAGTTCTCATTTTGGTCATTTTACTAGAGATGTAAGATTTCTTTTTTCTTTTTTGTGTAGATAAAGTTAAACAATAGATTTTAAAAGAAAAAAAACATTAAAGACTTATCCAAATTAATTTTCATTTCTTGTTTGCCTTTTTTAAAAATCTTAAAGTTAGTTTATTATTTCAAACATGTTATTTAACTTGTTTTGTCATATAACATTTATTAAATTTTAACATTTATATTAATATGTTTCCATTTATTTAAACCAACAACGATAAGGTTGTAGTAAATCTTAATTGCTATTTTTATTGCTGTTGTTTAGGAACTTTAGATATAATATTGTTTAAAATATGTATAAACTTTCTTGTGTTCAGTATATTAAGTATATCATATTTAGTATCTTGATCCAGATTACTTAAGGCCTTAAATTTAAATGTCTGCTCCTACTGATGGTTTTGTTGTATAGTTTATATAGTTTATATAGTTGTTATATAGTTTATATGGCTTTGTTATAAAGTATGTTCTTGTACTATTTCTAATATATGTAATATTGTTCATACAAACTTCAATATTTTTACAAGGGGTGGGTTTTGTCACTCACCAAGGAGGTGGCTAAAATGGTTTTTAAAAAAAAAGTTCTGCATTTTTTCACTTAAAAGTGACTTTCTTTTTTAACTTTTTGTACTTTAGTGTAATAATCAAGTTCATATATGTATAATTACCTATAATAGTCAATTACCTATAATAGTCAATCCCAATGGGGGGGGGGCAACTACCCCCATGCCCACCCTAAACTTACCACTGATTTTCACATTCTGCTGAAGCTATTAAGTGTATCAATGAAGAGAACTAATCTATCAATCATTTTTACAAGCAATCAATAAAATATCTCATTGGAAGTAGGAAGAAGGAAGCTTGTACTATTGTAAATAAAATGATATCTGTTTCTGTAGCATTATATATATTAAAGTGTACTTTATTTTAGATCAAATTGCATGATTTCACATTTATCCTTATTAAAACTGATTAGCCTTTTTTTTTTCCAGTTAAATAAGATGTTAAGATCAAACTGTGTAGAGTGATTTATTATTATTTATTTTTTTTCTAATTGAGTTATTTTCTAAATTTTCAAAATAATTTCAAAAATTTCAAATACTTCTTGGAATATGCATCTTAAATATGGAATTCATATTTTAATAAAGATATAAATTTTATCGAAAAAGTCCAACAAAAAGCCGCAAAAATTGGCTACTAAAGAAAGGGAGCAAGTTACGAGCAAAGATTAAAAGAAATGGGCTTACAAAATCTATCAAATAGAAGAGAAAACAGCGATCTCATTAAAATGTTTGAACTTATAAACAACCATGATATTATCAGTTAGAACTGCATTCCACAAGTATTGGGTAGGTTTACAGAGGCCGCAATCAAAGGTCGAGAAGACATCTTATTAAAAACTTTTTGTTGAGACCAATTTTTTTACAAACCATATACAGTGGGTTGCCAAATTATTTGGGACACTTCACTTTTTAAGTAATTTTAAAGTTTAAATGATTTTTGCAAGCAAATAAATTTTTTTAAATAAAAAGTTTTGAGTGTATTATAGTCACTAATATAACTATAGTTGTTTTTAAACTGTGGCAATTTGTGATAACCCAATCTGTCTAAAAGTTAGGTTATTACTCAATTAGCTGTCAATTTTTGAAAAGTGTGGTTGAAAGTCAAAAATTCAAAATTGATTTCAGTTACTTATTTTTGGAACAATTTTTTGCAAGTTTTTTGAGTTTAAAACTATTGAAATCTAAATATTCGTTAATAGTTCAATTAGCTTAGTTATTAATTTAGTATTTTTGCTACTTTTAATGCATAAATCCCTGACATACAACTATTCTTACCTCTCGTTAATTTTTTTAGTCTCCAGACTGAACCCCCCAAAAAAACAGAAAAGTAAAAACCTTACTTCTTCATTCTACACATTCTCAGAGAGAGGTTGCGAGCGTTTAAAAGTCAGTAGTGAGTCGAGTTTAAAAAAAAAATGATACAAATGTGACTCTAGAACCAGACCATGTCAGCAAAAGTGGCAGGAAAGGATCACTACCTCATGTTATGACTGTAAATTTAAAGACATCTATCTTGAAAACAGAAAAAAAAGTGTGACTCAACTAGCTATAATTATAAACAATGAAGGAATTAACGTCTCCAAAAGGATGGTTCAGGGACGGTTGGTTAAAGAGAATTTAGTGTGTTACCGTCCAACCAAAAAAAGAATGTTTAACTGAAGCCATGAAAAAAAAGCGACTGGAATGGGCTAGAAAACACCAGAATATGAATATTGAAGACTGGAGTAGAGTAAATATAATTTATAATATTGTAAGAAACCAGAAAAATTTAAGGATAAATATTTATTTTTGAAATATCTTTGAAATATTTTGCAGGTCAAATATCTTTGAAATGTTTTACAGGTCTGCTTCTCGGACCAATCAGCATTTCAAATTTTGATGGACAAAAGCTCATTTGTTCGACGATGCTCAGAAAAAAAATTCACTAGGACTGCCTTTTGGAAAAGGTTCAACATCCTGTGAGTGTAGGGGTGTGGTCTGTGATCTCAGCCAAGGGTATGGGCTGCCTTTACATTGTGGAAGAAACCATGAAGCAGGATTAGTCCTGCCATATGGTACCTTCCTACAAGCAATTACTGGAAAACAGGCTCCTGCTCCAGGTCTAAGAATGGTTCCCTGGTAATGAAGAGTATATGTTCATGCATGACTCAGCACCGTCCCATAAAGCTAGAAGTGTTACAGCATTCCTAACTGAAAAAAAAGTGCATGTTTTGCCATGGCCAGGGAATTCATCTGATATTAACCCTATAGAAAATTTATGACAGTTCATAAACAGAAAATTGCCAAAAAAAATTATCACTACTAAGCAGCAATTGATAGAAACCCTTATAAGAGAGTGGAATAGCAACCTCAGTCTCCAACACAATGCAGAAGTCTACATAGATAGCATGCCCAGATGCCTGAAAGCTGTTATTGTAGCTAAGGGTGGCATTACAAAATATTAAGATTATTACCTTATTTGTCGTGTTTTCAAACTTTTTATAAAAAAATAAATAGCAATGAATAGGTAATTATGTTGTTTTATATTCTAAATAAAACTCTCTACCAATAAAAACAATAAAAAAAATAACAATAAGATACATATTTATTCATTAAAGTAGTTTGTACTTTAAAATCACTTAAAAAGTAAAGTGTCCCTAATAATTTGGCAACCCACTGTAGTTAAAAAGTGTAATTGTTTGCATAGAAAAGTTGTCAATGCCATTTCAGTAATTGATTTCAAGAAAAAGTTTAAAGAATTTAGCTTTGATGAATTCGTTGATGATTTTTCAAGATTTTTTTTGTATTACTTTGTTGTGATATCTTTCTACCATTAGCATCTATCTACCTTTTGATATCCATCTATCTTTTAGAGATCATTGCCTTAAAAGAATTATTTCAAAATAATGTGTGTCCAATAAGATCAAATAAAAAGTTCTTCCTATCAAATAAAATTATTTGTAATTTTTTTAAAGAGTAACAATTCGGTTGACACAAGACTTAAAAATTTGTAGGCTGTATGAGTTAGAAAAACATGATTACAGGAGAAAGTTCCAAAGGGTTCAATTAAGGGGAAAAAACTAAACAAATAAAAATTTTTATGGCATACAGGGACAGATACAGTAAAGAGGTGAGACTTTGCTAAATGACGAGTCAAGCAAAAATGAGTTTATGGAACTAGAGATAAAAGCTCCTTTAAGTAGGGACTATGTTAGTATTTGTAGAATAGAGATGCAACTTGACGACGTTGAAAAAGAGGCTCTAGTTTGACAGATAGAGCAGGTACTACACAACTACATTTACAATGCATATTTGGACCTTATCTTGAGAAATAAGAGCATCATTGGAAGAACCAGTCTAAATATGACAACATTATTCCAAACAGGGGCAAAAAAGAGATTAGCAGAAGTAAAAATGAAATCGGGAGTAAGAAAATGGCAAGCACGATAAAAAGAAGCAACTTTAGCAGCTGCTTTTTGATTTGCATTTGCATTTAGCAATCAATTGTATTTATGGTTTCCATGAAGGGTCATAAGTGAATGATAATCCGACAAGAGGACTCAGTGAAGGGTTTGCTATTTATCAATATAGGAATGTCAACAGTATTGCTATTTGTATAATATAGTTATTTGTAGTAAATAACTAAGTTTGGTTGAAGTAAATAACTAAGTTTGGTTGTAGTAAATAACTAAGTTTGGTTGAAGTTAAAATTCACAAGCCACGCAAGCCTCAATCTGTTACAGAGGTTAGATCAGATTCAAGATTGAATTTTTGTCGAGGTAGTAGTATAAAGTTGAGTCACCAGCGAATAGAGCCACTTTAGATGTAAGGTTGCCAGGAAGATCACTAATATAGATAAGAAACAAAACAGGATTAGGGATAAAACCTTGAGATACCGCAGAGGTTACTGGAAATGAAGAAGAGTGTTGGCATTTAAGGATGACTTTAAATAAGTGGTTCAAATATTTATGATTTTTATAAAAACTGGAGTATATAATTGTATCATCAGCAAATTG